AAAAGGCCATCCTCAAACGCCTTCAGCAGTCTATAAACATTTCCAGTGATCCGTTACAGTTTGCTTACAAGCCAAATAGATCCACCCTGGACGCAGTCTCTATCCTCATTCATCTCATCACTAAATCGTTCAACAGCTCTGTTAATTCTGTTCGGTGTTTTTCTCTCGACTACTCTTCTGCATTTGATTCCATTCCTAGATCTAAGTTGCTACAAAAACTGGAATCGTTTGAATGCCCCAAACAGTTGTTAGCTTGGCTATCCAACTATTTTACCGATAGGGTACAAACCACTAGATTGGGGAAGGCCATATTGAAACCCTTAGTCAACAACTCCGGGGTCCTTCAAGGAGTCGTGCTATCCCCATACTTATTTGCCACTTATATTTGTGATATTTCCTGTGTTTCTTCCGTACGCACTTTGAAATATGCAAATGATGTCGTGTTGTGCGAACCCATTTCTTCTTACTCTAATCTAAGCTCTTTCACCGATAATGTTGATCAAATTCAGTCATTCTCCTCCTCATCGAGGCTAACCCTGAACCCCAGTAAAAGTGTTGAGTGTTTATATAGTTTTACTCGCTCTCCATATCCGAAAGACCCCACCGTGATTAATAAAAATCCTTTATCCAGGGTGAACTCTCAAATATATTGGTGTAACCATAGATAGCAATCTTCATTGATCAACCCACATCCATAACTGCATTGGTAAACTGCGTCACCTTTCATTTCAAGTACGAAAGCTCAGGCAGTTTCGCGCATCCCAGTCAGTTATTTCTACCTTTGTTTATCAGTCTTTCCCCATCTTACTCTACTGTTCCCAAGTCATTTTTCCTGGTTTACTCAAACAGGATTTAAAAGTCTTACGTCGCGTGTGAATGTGAATGAGTTAACTTTAAAGCTTTCAGAGTATCACGTAACTTCCTGTGTGAAATTTGCTCAGAGGATTCTCACAGTTCGTGACCACCCATTGCATGCAGAAGTGACACTTGTCGTTCCCATTATTCAAAACGCTCCCAATTTCGTCAAATTTCATCTCGAATTAATGCATACCGTAATTCACCCATACCGTATCTTGCTCGTCTAACTCCAAACAAAGAGCGAACAATGAGTGAACTTTGTTTTAACCTTGGATTATGAATGTCCCCATTAAACAAAGATCGGACAATAAGTGAACTTTGTCTTTATCCTGGATTATGAAATGTCCCCAGGCCTGTAAAAACTTTTCTCCCAGTTCATTATGTACATTGTGACGGTTAACGTGTATGTTTTTTGAACTGAAATGTGAGCTCCAATGCTTGCAAAAGTTATACACAATACACCGTTGTTACGTAACTGCAATGCAAAACTGTTGGCAATAAGTGAGGCGTTGCCAATCCGATTATCATGTGAGTAAGGTGGATGAGTCATGCAAGTTTGTGTGTGTGTGTGTGTGTGTGTGTGTGTGTGTGTGTGTGTGTGTGGTAATGACCCGAGACACGTGATTCACACGCATTCGGCATTTACAATCATTTCTCGAGTCTCACCACACACCGAGAGAGTAGTACGATCGCGGATGCTAGCAACCGCAGAGATGATTTGCATCCGACTCATGAAGCCACAGCTGTGCCCCACAACGAAAACCGTTCCTTGTTCTCCAACTCCTCTGGCCAAGGGAAGAGAAAATCGCTTACTGTTCACATGACCATGACGTAACATGGTGAAAGTTAGTTACGCTGTCAATAACGGCGTACAAATTTGAAACTTTCAAGGGGTCACTACCAAGAACAACGTATTTATCTTTCTGTTTGACCCTAATGAAATAGTTTCATATAAATTTGATTGTAAAGGCTTGAAAATGAATTCAACGATAACATGTTCGCCTAATTGTGCGTTCTTAGTAATTTGTTTTTCTCTTTTCTTGTTTACTTTCTCTTATTCAATACACATTGGTCCCGTTTTCAGACAGAAGAAAGTGGCCAAACAAAGGGCTGCCTCTGTTGGGATTCGAACATACGTCGTCCTTCCCGGGGTAACAATTCACGGTTTGTTTGATCATTTTGTTTTATCCTACCTCATGGCGACTGAAACGCTAGAACGTTACGACCAACCATATCTCAGATCGAATTATCGATCGGTTTTACACAGTTAGTGTTCTATCGAACAGTGTGCAGTAAAATATGAAAGATATTTCCTTGCTCTTCTACGCTAAGCACGTGGACAGTGAGTTTTGCAAAAGAAAAACAGTGATTGAATTGCATTCGGTTCAAAACAGAAAAACTCACCTATGGTAGTGATGATTGTAATTGCAAACAAAATACTTCCTTCAAATGTCCAATTCAAATCTTCTTCATTATCAGCCCCGTTCCAGCCCTCTTCTTTGATTGCGGACACAATCAACTTCGTATACTCATCCGACCACTTGGTCAGCTTGGTCTCAAATTTCCGACTGATGCTCAGAATAATCGGCAGAACATCCTCCAATAACCGGACCACAATCACCGGGCTCGGAGTCATATTTAACAATTCCGGTGAAAACATTTCATTAATTTCCGACAGTTTCGTATAGTTTATTTCACTCATAAGTCTCATTTCCGAAGAGGAGTTCACAACCGACCTCACACTGCTTGTGGTGGTTGTCAGCCGGGTACTGTCATCCCCATTCAACAGGTTTTGGGACACGTTCCATTTGTCGAGGAACCACGAAGATGGCAATATGCGTCGAGGCCATCCTAAACCCCTCAGATACCATGCTAAACCGGCCAGGAGTTTCTCCCGATCAGCGTGATCTTTGATTAGAACATCGAGCGTGTTCGAGCTTATCCCACTTGTGGAACCGGCCGCTTTCCTGTGTGCTCCTGCCTGAACAGCACGTTCCAATTCTTTTAGATCTAGTGCCAACTCTCGGAGAAGTTCCAGCTGACTTTCACGCCACATGAGCATGAGCTCACTCAAAAGACGTGTACGATTTCGCACCACCTGCGCTTTTACTTCCTTTTCATAGCCCCGTTCTATATGACAGAATATCAATCCACCGAGAAGGGTGTAGATAATAACCAGGGCGGCCAGACCGACGTGGGAGAGTAGACAAGTGAACAACCGGCGGAACCATGTTCTGGTTTTCGTGCACTTTGAACCGGTTTTCGGTTTTTTCGTGTGAACTTGTGTATTTACACTGAGCTTGTTATCGGCCGAGATCGAATTCGGTAGTCTGTTCGAGGTGTGGCTCGCATCCACTGCTGGTTTCTCCGTATGCGTGTTGGTGAGAATCGATAAATTCGGATTCACGAGTGGAGTGCAATCGATTGGAATTCTTTTGGATTGACCCAGTCCCTGGCAAGTTCCATTCGGAGTTTTTGAAGAATGATTAATATTCACGGGTGGTAATTCATGAATAAAAGGGGTTTCGGACGAAATTTTCATTTAAGACGTTGAAAACATGAAAGATTAGTGATCCAGCACATGCACACACACACACACTGGGAAGATGGTATTCCACAAGCACTGGATCGTCTTTATCAACAAGCGAACAAATCAGTACGGCAGGGATGATCTCCGTATATTTTTAAAGTGCCTTGACCAAACGTCTGAGTGAATGCGCCTCCGTCTATCGATTGTTAATGTGCCCCCATATATCTATCTATATATCCAATGAAGGCAATGTAAGCTGTTCCAGCTGAACCGTATTTTCAGCCAATAGGCACTCAGATTTAGTCAACAATGCGCACGAAATTGGACCAATGCATTTATTGTAAAGTGACCAGAATGTGAAAACGTGCAAACTTGTGAATGTAACAGACTCCAGACTTTTCCCCCTTTTTATTGGATTATACGCAAAGATCCCAGAAAAGAAAAATGTTGGTTCAGTACCCTCGAACGGAGGTGTTTTTGAACAAATTTGGTGATATAATATTATTATTACTATAATGTCTATCATATTTCACTGTTCATTTCACGGCGAAATAAATGATATGTAACTCATTTGTTTGACTGTGAGTGATATATTGTTAATGTTATAATAACACAGTGATGTCGGTAGAGAATTCTATTCGCCGACGTTTCGGTTACCGTGGATAATCTTTCACAAGGTAGGTTTTACAATCAAATGATTCAGAGGAAAGGATCACAGGTCCACAGATATTTCATTATGGCACCGTATCCTTTATCGTGATTACACATTAGGGATGTTATGGAAGTCCAAATGCTCGGGTCACCGATTCCGTCGTTTCTGTTAACACATGCATAGTGGGTGTGAAGAGCGATTGCTGAGTCTCGTGCTAGTTTTGTCAGAGTTTCATTGTCCGTAGGCCGGTGTTTTTCCTTTCTCTTGTGTTTGGTTATTCTTGTCTTGAGTTGTCTGCTGGTTTGCCCAATGTATTCTGCGGGGCATTCTTTACAACTGATTTTGTAATACAGTTGTTTTGATCTTGCAATTCGACCGGATCTTTGGCTTTCATGAGATGGCGTTTCAGAATGTTGTCAACCCAAACAAATGTTTCCAATTTCGAAATATGCCCATACTCGCATTTAGAACACAATTTCAGGCGAACAATTGTTTTCCATAACTCATAATCATGCCGTTACAGTTTATATGAGGGGGAAAATCCTAGGGGTTGGGAGGTGAACAATAAAATGTGTATGCGTGTCTGTGTGTGTGTGTGTGTGTTGCACCGCACATTCTCAAATCTGTGCTTCCGGGGTTTGCAGTTGTGTCACGATGATCGTGTGACCCAGTTCTGAGGGATCGGTGTTGTTGTTGTGTGAGAATGTTTGTTTGAATGTGGAAAAGAGGGGCATATATAAACTGTATTGGCATGATTATGAGTTATGGAAAACAATTGTTCGCCTGGAATTGTGTTCCGAAAAAAATGTGTTTATGTTGAAATCTCCGAGAATCTTTCTGATTGCTTATATGGAGTGCCAACAGAGGCCACACGGTCTTTTTTGTCATTACGTTCTATCATTGTTTTTTTTTCGCTTCTATCCGGGATCTTATCAGAAGTGGCGGATAATCAGTGTCTTCTAGCACATTTTTGAGGAGTTTTATTATCATTTGGCGGTTATTGTCTTCATTACAGAGCTTTTTGATTTTGTCAGCCACAGAGAAGTTAAGAGTCCGTTTTATACATTGCCGGTGAGCTGATTCAAAATGTAAAAGTTTATCCGAATATGTCGGTTTTCTGTGAACGCTGGTGGTTAGTTTGCGTGAGTTGTTCAGCCTGAAATGACAGTCTAGAAAACTGATGACTCGATTCACATCCTCTGACTCCATTGTGAAATTGATGGAGCTGCACTGTTTGTTTAGACAATCAAGAAACGCGTGTGTGTCTTGTGATTTAATAATGACAAACATACCGTCTACGTATCTTACCTACAAACGTTGTGGCATATGAAAACTGGAGAGTGCCTTTGATTCGATTGAATGTAAAAAGAGGGTGGCTACAATGGGAGAGATGGGAAATCCCATGGTAACACCATTGGTTTGCCTGTATAAATCGNTAAATAAATTTGACATCAGACAAATTTCTACACCAGTAATAATTTCTGATGGGGTTAAAGAAGTTCGTTCTCCTAGTGTGACACCAGACATCAGCAAAGAATGCAGAAAATTTAAACTCCAATTTCAAAATTGATGGCTTCATTATCCTCCGTTATCGCAAACACCTTGTCAGCAAGCAAATATTCACCAAACTTCATCTTTTATCTCAGAAATCCCGAATCACAGCTGTTTACTTTTTTTTTTAAATTTCTCATCATGCTTTCAAGCCACATTGCCAATCCGTTT